GGCTGGATAGTGAAGACTTGTCAGGTATTCATCCGTTATCATAAATCACTTATGATATACAAGTGATCACCAAGTAATGTGTGAAATTAATGTTTTGTATAACTGACAGTATGGGGGCCTATAGCATTAATTGCATAATGATAAGTTGTGCCCTAAAATATTTGCAAACCAGTAACTTACCTCTCTCTTTAAGTGTCATGTACTTTTTTAATATTCCAAATAAATTTATACATTTTTGTTAAAGAATATACTTGCAAAGGTATTCTGACATATAAAACATTAATTTCCAGCCTTCTCAGCATTGGGCAGTGTGTTGTTTGATGCAGCTGTTCCCTCGACTTCTACTAGCAGCAACAATTTGAATGTGGACTCTGCCCGGACATCACCTATCCTCCTTTCGCCCTGCACTCCACCACGACAAGCAGCACCACCAACACCGCATGATCCACCAGCATCGTTCCAATTGTCACCAGACATAGGTAATAATATCACATCGCAAATCATGATAATTATAGATTTATCTCATTTAGATTTGGTGTGCAAAGTATGACAATATACCTCAGCCTAATATATAGAGAATATGTGGTGTTTTCAGTGTGATATCACTTAGTACGTCACGCAATGAGAGATCAGTGATATTTAAATGAAAATAAATAGAAAATATCTCCATTCTTGACAAATACAATGTTTATCAGTCTATTAATACTTAAGATCTTAATAAATTCCAAGATTTAACTTCCAGATTTCCAAGTTCCAGTTCAATACTATTTTCTTATAGTAATGGAAGAATTATGTATACGTACTGCATTTATAATTTGATGCAGTCAAAAAAATAATTTAATGTTATTACATTCAAATTCTGCAATATATCCTTGAAAACAATTATATTGTGAATTTTCTTTGTTGTTTCTAGACCTGGGAGTAAGAAACAAAAGACAAAAGTTCATACTCATGGTAATTATTAACCTTTGTAATGTCAGTGAGTAATATTTCGTAATGATTGTATGAAAAGTTTTTCAAAGATGAAATTGTCTCATATATTAACAATGTGATATACCAGTTCAACTTTACAAGGTGCAATGCAATCAATGATGATTGCAAGTAAGTTCCTTTATAGTAATAAAAGTACAAAAGGAAAAACAAAACAATGTTTGTATCTCAAATTGTTGAAATTTATTGTGGATATGACATGATTGTTGTTTGTTTTGTAGAAGACAGTGCAGCCCAGGCAGCTGAAGTGGTCCAGCTTGAGAGGGAGAAGGTCGCCATCATGCGGGAATGCTTGCAGATCGACAGAGAGCGCCTGCAGAGAGCCAGTACTTAATGAATTGCGGCTGATGAGAAAACAGGCAGATCAGACTGTTACTCACATATGCATCTCACCATCATCAGATTTGAATTCGGAATGTATATACAATACTTTGCTATTAAGAAAGTCTAACAATGAATTGAAATAAATCCATATTGTCATATGTTGGGGATGTGAGTAGTTCAAGCTTGTTCGAGTTGTCCTGTTAAATTATCAAGTACCATTGGTTGTTAATAATTTGTATGAAATCATTTGTTGTTACAGAAAAGTATGTACCTTAACTGCAAGCTAGGACTTTAGGAGCTCTCTGAGCCTTACAAATATCATTAATACACTAAGAAAGAGTAATCCCAAATAAAACATATGTTACATTACAAATATCATTACCAAAATTTCATGTCTTTTTAAAGCTTAGAAAGAGAAATGTACATGATAACAATAATAGTTTAGTTTATGTCATTATTGTCATGAAGGCAATGTCAAGGATGAGTGTCATGAACTTTTCATTTGTAAAAGTTTTAATTTTCTTAGACAGATACCTCACAACTTTGTACAAAGATATCAACTAATGGAAAACTGATTAAACTCAAGAAATATCAATCTAATATTATTTTTGCAAATAGAAGTTCATTTATGTATGTATATTTCTATTTTAACTATACTGTACAGTGTAAAACATCTACAAGAGTACCGTAATAGGTCATATCGGCTAAAATACTGAATAAAACTTCCATGTGTCTGCTGATATAATGGTTTTGTGAAAATGAATCTATTTATTGTATCACCACTTGCACAGGAGTTGATATACATGTCCCTAACATTGTTTTTCACTCAATCCGTCCCATTGTTTATGCCATGCATATCTCAAACATCAACTGCTATTTTACTGAATATTTTACTGAAACATTCCATAGATGGTTTAGTGGTGTCTTTTGATGAAATGTATCACCTAAGACCTATTTTCCTCATCTGCAGAATAATGTTATGATTGATTACTAGATTTAAGTTTACATTGCTCCAATGATTCAGGATATTGGCAATTGACAAACTTGCAATGTATGTGAGGTAAAAATGTATTTTGATTATTCATATGGTGAACTTGTTATGGCATTGATTTCTCTTATCATATTCTGAAATATATCCTTGAAATTAATTATTAAGAAGATTGAACAATATATATATTTTGACATTTTAATGATACTAAATTTACTTAAGAAATATTTTTTTGGGATGAAATTGGTTATGAAATTTACACATTCATTTGATATACATACGAAGTTGAAGTTGGTGCCTTTGGATAACCCAGAAATTTGAAAAAATGAACCAATTTAATGATGCTTTGCAATGTTCCTATTTACAAATACAACAAGTCCTTATCAAAATACCAGTGTACATTCATAACATTAGATGTATGTACTTAGTGTATTTTCAATTGTTAAATGCATTAACAGATTATATTTTTATCGAAAAATTGGTTATTTATTTCTCTTCATGCTGACATCTACAAAGAAAACAAATGAACTGTTGTAAAAACTTACCATATATGTTAGTTGAAAGTGCTGTCTATCAAGCGTTTCCTTGTCTGGTGTCCATCTCTAAGTGGACCGACATATGGCGGGTCATTGCCATCCTCTGCAGGTAGGGCTGGCATGGGTGGAAGGCGATGGTTGAGACACAGGTTGTGTAGCTGGCACACACCATACACGAGCCGATGACACTTGTCTGACAGCTGGTTTGAAAGGCAGGCAGCCCGTTGACTTGTGTAGGCATCTAATTATTAAAGAGAACCTACTACATTCATGTTAAAGCTATATCAATTTATCGATAGCTTAGTGAGTGAAAGTTCCAGTTATAGGTTTTGGCGCTATATCTGTAAAGAGATAGTCTCCTTACTCTATCAGACAATAACTATATGGATATTTTTTGCAATATTTTCATACTTTATCTTAAACTTCATTTTGCAAAATGGTTTAATTCCTTGTAAGTAAATGACAGATTCATGCCTTCAGTTTTGATATAAATGAACTTTTAATCTTTGTGTTTAACCCCTTGAGATTATATATTTTTAATTATGTATTTTTCTTATTCTGAAATATTAATTTCATTATGATAATCGAACTAACCGAAACCGAGACTTCATTAGGCCAAAAGCTCTTTCCACTGTGTTCTTTTTTTTACAGAGCGCTCGGTTAGATCTCCCTGTGTCTGGTGGTTGCTCAGGGGCATGACCATCCATGGTCTGCAGGCATGTCTGAAGGATTTTGTAGATATATACGCAAATGATTTATAAGAGAAATATGAAGACGGTGTTAGTAAATACAACACAAATTCAAACTGGATGTATCTTACTCTTAGTAAATGGAATTATCAAGTACATATATTTTATTTATGAAACTTCACTCATTTTAAGCTATTTTGTTACAAAATGATAATGAAATTTACCCGGAATCTCAAAGCAACCATCCATTTCTACCTCCAGACCCTTCAAGTTAGCTTCCAATTGTACTATTTTTAAAGATGTAGCTATCACGTGTTGCACCTGGCCATCTGCATACAACATTGGTGAACCTGTAATAACACAACATCCATTTCTACCAACATACCAAGAGAAAATCGTGCTGCCGGAGTACAAACAAATTATGTGATGCTAATGCTAAAAATATATATTTCCAGGGTATATGCAATATGTATCGTAGTTTAAATGTCCTTTCCAATATATAATTTATAATCCATACATGTAAGGAAAAGTACACCTCTATCTCTAATTGTGTACTAATTTCTTTATGTAAACAATAATGCATGAACAAGTCATTTACATCCTTTGCACTCGGTCAATGACATTACAGTGTACAATTCCAGTTTTAATTTTTTTAGACGTTTTCATTAGAATGAAATTAATGCGACACCTCAAACGGGCCTCTCAGGCTTTAAATTCTAAAAATAGATATTCAAATTAATCAATCAATGTCAAGGTTATAGATTGTGAAATAATCACTTCCGCATTTGGCTTGCATCAAAATATTACTGTGTTCTCTGTAAATATTGTACAGTAGAGTTGTATCCATCCAGTTTTACGTATGCAGGTATGATTTAGAAAGTTATGAGTGCTTTCATACTGACCTTAGATCTCCGTCGCACATGGCTTGGATGTTTACAGCGTGAAATCCCTTCCGGCAAACATACGCTACCTCCTCGCATGCTTGTGGACGGACGATTGCAATTAGAGTACCGTCGATGCAGCCAAGCACATTGGGAAAGCCAGAAAGTGCGTGAAACACCTATTTGACTTCCCGCTGTGAGGTTGCAACTTTTAAGAAAATGTATACGGTCTAGTTTCCGTGACAAGATGTCTACAGTGGTACCAATTGCACGGGAGACAGTAGGCTGTGAAACCCCGTGCAAATCAGCCAATTCCGACTGGAAACCACCCTTCCCCAGGTACCTAAGGGTTATTAGTACTTGAAGATCGGGGTTAAGGGCTCTTGAACGTTGTGTGGCTCTCTCTAGCTCGGGTCGACACAGCTCTATCACCTCTTGAATCGCTCGCCTTGACAGACAGTATCGAAAAACCAACTCCGCATCGTCGAATACATCGAGGGGCGCAGTCCGGTTACGATATATCCTTTCTGCATTCTTCTTACAGTCATTCTTTCCCCCAAACATTGCATGAACAAACAAGTACGACGCCATATTGTTTTCGTCTAGGATTTATTTAGGACAAGTCAGACCCTATCCTAGTATTTGGCCTAAGTTAGGATATCCTAGCGCTAGGATACTTTTAGAGAATAAGGTAGGACACCTATCCCAGACTCTAGGATAAAAGTTAGGATATCCTAGCGCTAGGATCCTTTCGATAGGGGCCCTGGCTCGTAATATAAACCACCTGCAACAGGTCAGCAGCCTGCTACGTTTCAGAATTGGATTGATCAGCTTCAAGGGCATTCAGACTAATCGTCAGAAGACGATGGGGGGAAGGTCGGCCTCGTGTGTCGCGCTGCAACAGAATGTTTGGAGGGAGTTTACTGATGGTGCGGGGGTGCTTCTCACGTGACTGTAAACCTTAAGACGATTAGACACAATCTGAATGGACAAGAGTACAAAACTGACATCCTAAAATACGCCAGAGCGAACATCCAGTATAAAATCTTGATGTATTGGAACAAGGCCCCTTGAAGAATGGAACGCAATACCTCATCGTCAAATGCAACGTCTGATACAGTGAGGAAGAAGGTCTTAAGGCATTTGGAAGGGTTAAAACCAGCACTGCAACAGTTAATTATCCTTGGAGTTTTTATTTATCTACAAGCTAAAGTCATGGATAAGTTCCGTTGCCGTGGTTAATAGCGAAATATTGATCAAATAATTTGGCTGGATGGTTTGCTGTTTAATGTGTAGACCAGACAATCCAGTGATCAAAAACATGAGCATTCATCTATTGGGATACGATGACATGTGTCAACAAAGTCAGCTAACCTGACCACCCAATCCCGTTAGTCGCCTTTTACGACTGGGATGGGTTGCTGAAGACCAATTATAACTCGGATCTTCATGGGTTTGATACAGTGAAAATACCGGATGTTGCTAATACTTGTCCATGTTAATGTATACTTATGGCTCTAAAGAAGGGACGAAAGTATCAAAAAGGATGATATCATCAGTATTGTCTTCCAAGCGATGTTGACATAAAGATAAGCAATAAAGATGATACAACAGCAATAACCGCTCCTGAACAAATAGTAATACACACCAAAAAAACCTTATACTAAGTGCAAGCCATTAATATGAGGCAAATATATATCCCAACATCATGCCACAGGACATTCATTGACATAATTGTTGTTACTGCATTGATACGACAAAGACATTCTACGAAGACAAATTCAGCTGGAGAACCAATGTAGGAAATATGGCTACCGTAGATTCCACTTTCCCTGGAATGGAGAGGCTATCTGTTTCTGGCAATCTACATCCCTATTATTTTATCGCAATTTTGCGGAATAGTTAAATAGTTCTGTGACTAGTTTTGAACCAATCTGCCATATGTTGGTAGCTTATGTCCTTTGATAACAGTTATCGTATAAATGTAGATTACTACGTCACAGTTTGGCTGAAAAACTGTTTAAGTAATGTAAAGCAATGTTTTACTCAAGTGCTTAGGTATAGGATTTGCAGGTTTTTAATGAACTTGATTTTTATGATCAAATCTAAGATACAGATTTTAACCAAAATAATCAGCCTTTTAACTTGAATGTGGTGCATTACTGATATTATATGGTCTTGGGTATCATACTTTTATGGTTCTTTTTATTATGTGCACACGTTGAAATTAGTAACAGGCTCACTTGGCAAACAGCTGGAACATTGCTGGTGAGGCGTAAAGCAATATTACTTGAATCTATAATGCAAGCATTCTGGCGTGTCAAATGATAAGCTACTGTCAGAAATATTGTTCCGGTGTATCAGATGATAAGCGCCTGTCAGAAATATGTCTCCGGTGTATCAGATGATAAGCTCCTATCAGAAATATGTCTCCGGTGTGTCAGATGATAAGCTCCTGTCAGAAATATGTCTCCGGTGTATCAGATGACAAGCTCGAGCTCCTGTCAGAAATATTCCTCTGGTGCTTTGAAATGAGAGAGACTAACCCACTAACATAGACTAAACACCATCCAGAAGGTTTTGAACTATATTGGATCAGGAGTCTTTAGCTGTTCTGGAAGATACCAGATTATGATTGACCACAAAATCATCAAAATATTCATAGGGGTGCTGTGTGGGTAATGCAGGTTGGTTTTGGGCGAGCATGTTTAACTCTGCCCAGCAATGTTTTCGCTCGACAAAGAAAGAAATTCAATAAATTGATACATGATCATCTAGCAATCAGGGTATTCAGCTCATATCAAACAGGGGCGGTGGGGTAGCGTAGTGGTTAAAGCGTTGGCTCGTCACGCCAAATACCCGGGTTCGATTCCCCACGTGGGCACTTGTGTGAAGCCCATTTCTGGTGTCCCCCGCCGTGATATTGCTGGAATATTGCTAAAAGCGGCGTAAAACTAAACTCAGTCAGTCAGTAAGTCATATCAAACATTCTAATGATAATGCCGTGGTCAGCAACACGTATGTTCCTATTTCCTGATCAGCTGTAATTTACTACCAGGTTCAACTCAAAACGTTTATGTTAACATCAGCTGTTAGTTGTAAACCTTTACTATCTGTCACAGTGACTCGTTACAAAAATACTGTACTTTCTTAGAATGAGATTATATGTTTATTACTTTTGAAATTGAATAAAAACAAAACAAAAGAATATTTCATTGCTATGAACATATTACCCTAGTGGAAATGATCAACCCCACCTACACACACGACCCTCCCCATCCAAATCATTTATTCAGTTGTGAGAAGACGTTGAGATGATTGTCAGCTAGTAGATTTGCTAAAACCTGTAGAACATAGGTAATCTCAAGTTTGTAGGATGAGACATACACAACAACATCTTACCAGAGGTACAGATTACTTCCTTGGAGTTTGGTGTCACACACTCTGATCCCTGTCCAGTCACAGAACACTGGTAGGTGCCAGCACTGCTCACTGTCTGGCTCAACCCACTATAGGAAGAAGCTGAGTCAACGAAATCACTGCCCCTCTGTAAAATAGGACATGCAAGGGGTAATGGAAGAATATGTATTAATGACAGTGCTGCCAGGTAGATCAGAACCTTAGTTGATAGATGCAAGAAGAATAGCATGACGCATTTCCTAAATATACTCCATAATGTTGAACCATGTATTTGCTTCCTTTCTTATCAATGGGAAAAGTGCAATGCAGTATGCAGTTATGAGTAAGGCTGGTAAACAAATGATAAATAAATCTCACTCAGTGCATAACTGTATGACAATAGACTTTGTGTAGCATGATAGATTGCATGTTGTATTACTTGATTCATTAAAGTTGATTAACATCGCCAATATTTTATTTTTGGTTGTCAGTCTAATAAGAAAACAGAGTATTTCAAGAACCTAAACTACCGGACAAAAGAAAGTTACCGCCGACTTCACCTTACCAAACAATAGAAACAAAGATGTATGTGAGATTTCTGATAATTATTGTACAGACATAAATTATTTTCCAATAATTTGACTAAAATTTCATCGCAAAGCTGTTTTTGCCTTTATCGCTTTTCATTAAGAAAGAGTCGGTGGGTAAAAATTAAAAATTACACAAATCAGAGTTTATCCAAAAGGTGCATGAAAAGATTATATACATAGATGTGAAAGCTCGCGATTCTCTCCGCTCACTGTACCAGTCTGGGAAGAATGTTAATTTCACCCTGGATATCCAGTTTAGGAAGCTTGACCACTATATCATTAATTGCCTGTGCAATTGCTAACTTAGTGATTTAATTTGGAAACAGACACCTAACAATAGTTTAAAACATTATCTAAAATAGACATACATGTTGTATAGTAACATAGCAATGTGCTTGAGCAGAGAGCATACAGATTGGGGTTTCCAACGTTTCCTCATGGAAGATGATTGTGGCTGCAACTAGTTATGTGTAGTTCGCAGTGAAACTTTAGATATTTTGACAATGAGGTAGAGGACTCATAAGAATGATACCAGATCTCATACAGCTATACTAAAGTGTTTCACAAGCAAAGTTTGCAAATAATCAACGACTTTATTAGTTAATAGGTAATGCTAGTATATTTCACTCAAATACAACAAGAAGGCAAAGTCATCAATTTTTGGCGCAGTGTTAAATACTCTTTATGAATATGTCAGCTAGTTAGGAGTATGTGGAATGTTTTGGCGTGCATATAACAATTTTCAGGAACACTTTTGAAAGGACTTTTGTGACTTCAATATCTCTGCATTTTTAATACCTATATTGGATTATCAGATTAGGGTACTTTTCTTTTCTTGACTAGGTTTTACTATGTACAACGTTCATCATTTACATAATGTTTCTCACGATGTGGCTGATATATTGCCGATGTGACGTTAAATATCAACTCACTCACTACATAATGTTTCATGATCCATGATTACCTACAAAGTGATAGGAGAGTACTGGAAGCTTGTTAAGTTCTGCTACGGAATGGAGGACTGCCACCAATTTCAGTCAACGTAAAAGTATATTGTTGCCATGGAAATGCGTACCAAACACTGTAATGTGGATATGTTTTGTGTCCTGGAACTTCAGCAGACCATTCTATACCAAACACAGTACAAGCATTTTATAACAAACAAACCCATCTCACTTCTGCATCAGAAGAAAGAGATAATATCGGAGATGAATGAGAAGAGACAAGAAAACATAAGTCCTTTTTTACAAGACAAGCAGTGGACGTAAAACTGATAACTGAAAAGCACATGCCTGAATCATTACATTTTGAGAAAACTAAGGGAGCAATAATGACCCTAGATGGCATTTATGATGTATGTTGAGAAAATAATCATTAAATATGTTGGTCGTTAAGCTTGCCTTTAACTGCAGTGTGACAGGTGGTGACACATCTCCTGAGCAGGTCACAGTGTAGCTATCAGGGGCAGTCTCCACACAGGATCCCTTGATAGGTTCATTTACAACTGCAGTAGAATAGACAATAGTAAAACAGACAACCAGGAATGGTTTGGGGATAATAAAGCTCATACTTGATTTAAGCAATCCAAACAGCTTTGCTTTCTGATTAGAGCAAAACAAAGTATAAACAGTGTCTTGCTCCAAATGCTCTTGACATCTGGTGCAAGTATAATAAGAGAACATAATATTGAAGTATTACCAATAATGATAATCATTATTGGGTCTTATCCCTCAGTTTAAAGGCGTGTGTGTTTTTGATGATGCCAACTCGCAAGCTGACATGATCTGTTCGATACACCCTGTCCTCTACAAATATGAGTGTGTGACTTTTGATTCGAGTCAAAGATAACGTTCTAACTGTAAATCTGGATAGATCTTTCAAATATACAACCGATTGTATATCCAAGGCATGCAGTCGTGAAATTCCTAATGCTACAGGAGATGACAACTGGCAACGGCATCATGATTTGAGTGTATGACGCAGTTGTCTTAGAAGCGTAGGCCACCGAGGATGTTCTGAAGGCAGACACAGGGAGTCTTCTAAAGAGCTGTGTACGTTGGTATTTCGAGACAGGAAATAGTCCAGATAACCATGAATTCTCAAGCGTTGTAGATGAAGATACGCCAGTACCGGAGCTGTTATAATTGTGGATAGCCACACAACCCCCGATATCCTGAACGGTCTGGAGTATGGATGAATCATCACGTGTAGATACACAGATCTGTTGTGAGCATTGAATTTCCTTGTCTTCTAATTTCTTCGCGTGGCCTTTTTTCATTACCAGCGCATACGTCTCAAAAGCTGTCCACAAAAGATGTTGGCAGAGGTCACATCGAGATCCCAGGGAACATGGCGTAACAACACATTCCAAGCAATCGCCATAGCTATCTTGTGGACACATATATTTTGAACATTATTCAAAACCTGAAGGGAAGGTCGAGATATAGCTCATGCCCTTTGACGTACCCCTATTAATGTCATATAGGACAAGCCAAAACAGGAAACTTTACAAATTTGATCGGAGAACAAGGAAACACAATGCCTTCATGTCTGCCACAGGAAACACTTACGTCAGGGGAGATAACTCCTACGGATAGTGCTTGGGAATACCGCTGAGAACAAGGACAGCACAAAACGATGGATTTTGCTATTTTCATATTTGACTAAACCTGTGGATCAGAAGCACGATATAACGCAATCAAGTGTTAAAGTGAAGTATTCATGATAATTATTTAAATTGACGAATCTTTTCATTATGTCATGCTAGAGTTTTAGTACTTGTTAAACAGATGTGGGTGTTACGTTCCATTCTACATAGAGTGCATGGCAGCTTTACAACAACGTGATAGCCTTTTGCCATGCTCCATTATATCCACTCCCTCCCACCCAGTTGTATCATGTGGGCAGAATTTCTACGCGAGATATTATAGCTGTGCTAATGAACATATCATGCTCAATTGTGAGCTTAGGTATTAGTGTTATTTGTACTACTACCTTCCATCCTTTCCTACCACATTGCTAACTGCTTAGATAAATTAATAATTTGAGCACGAATTTAAGATTTTCGTTTTAGGTACTATGTGATGTATGTTCTATTGTGTTGTCTTAGCCCACTTTCGTTGCCGAAAATAATAGACATGTAACCAAAGTTAATGCGATCAGTTTAATGTTTTCTCTGCATAAGTGAGTGAGTGAGTGAGTTATTATTTAACGTCACATCGGTAATATTTCAGCCATATCGTGACGAGAACACTTGACATTGAAATAATATATATATAAAGATCATAAAACCTGCCGACAAAGGACAGTAAAGCAACTAGAGTATCACAGATATATATGTAAAACTAGTATTTGAATCTAAAACATTTTAACCATAGGGAACAACACAATATAAAAATGGGCTATAGATCGCCACCATCTGAAGGTAGATCACCATACTAGGAGCCATGGGGACTTACATTACGTTTGCTACCTGCATGGATCCTAGCTGGATTTACACCATCCCTTCAGCCGCTGGCGATTATAGGAAAATTTAGCCAACAGTTAAAATAACAAAAATACTACGTTTAAAATGTGATAATTTATACATAACTTTGAAAGTTTTTGGACTTACGTACCCTCTCAGGAGGACAATAATGTTACGCTACTTCAACCCCCTTTGAGGGTACGGCCACTAACAATCTCAGTTACAAATTTAAATTACCAATAATAAAATATTTATCTATTTACAAATCACTTAAGAAATCTAATTCTTTTAAAAAAGCAATAATTAAATGAGAACTGACTTTATTAAAAAGATCCTTCATGGTGTTTACTTTGAAATAGATATCCCTTGTGATGGAATATTCGATGCAGTCAAGCAAGACATGCGTGACTGTGATTCTTTCATCACAAGGGATGCAAAACGGAGGATCTTCGCCTTTAAGCAAATATTCATGGGTATATCTGGTATGACCAATACGACATCGCCGCATAATGACCTCTTCAAACTTGGACTGACAACCCAAGTAGGTGTAACCAATGTAGGGTTTTATTGCATGTAATTTATTAAGACCTACTTGGGTGTCCCAATTCTTCTGCATTAGATCGCGGATGTATGTTCTAATGCTGGCTTTATAATCAGAGTATGGGATAAGAAGTGGTGTCACAGATTTGTTGAGTGCTGCCTTAGCAGCAATATCAACCAGTGTGTTCCCAGAAATGCCAACGTGGCTGGGTAACCAACAAAAGACGATGTCGCATTGGCCAGTAGCAAGTTCATTGTACATTCAAGAATTTCTAATAAAAGTGGATGTTTGCAAGAAAGAAGGCAAGAAAGAATGTCAGAAAAGATTATATATTGTTTATATTTACGGTGTGAGTTAATATATTTTAAAGCTGTTAATATAGCGTTAGCTTCCGCCGTGAAAATAGAGCTGTTATCAGGCAATCGAGATGATATTGTTCTGGACCCAATGACAGTGGCACAGGCTACAGCGCCACCATCCTTGGATCCATCTGTAAATAAGGATTTATATGTAGTATATTTATTTCCTAACTGACTAAATTCTTGTTTATACTGTAATTCATTAGTTTCTGATTTTTTAAATGTGGTCAAAGTTAGGTCAACTTGGGGCTTAACCAACTGCCAAGGAGGAGAAGAAAGAAGACGGGAAGGAGCTATATTTTCCAGCTCAATGCCGGCAGCAGAAATGAAGGGCTTAATTCTGTGCCCAAGAGGCGGAACAAGAGAAGGTTTTTTGTTGTATAAATCCTCATAGAGGGGATTGAAAACACAGTTAAATGCAGGATTAGACTCGCTAGAATATAGTTTAGTAATGTATTGTAAAGATAATTTTATACGACGTTGTGGAAGAGAAGGCTCATCTGCCTCAACATATAGACTATCAATAGGAGAGGTTCTAAAGGAGCCAAGACAAAGTCTTAGGCCTTGGTGGTGGACAGAATCAAGTAGTTTTAGGTTGCTTGTACAGGCTCCACCATATACGATGGAGCCATAATCAAGTTTCGAGCGGACCAATGATCGATATAGGTGGAGGAGGGTAGCTTGATCCCCTCCCCACTTTGAGTTGGAAACAACTTTCAACAAGTCGAGTGCCTTCAGGCATTTGGCTTTAAGTGATTTAATATGTGGCAAAAAAGTTAAATAGGAGTCGACAATTATTCCCAAGAATTTGGCCTCCTTAACAACTTTGATGGGAGTACCATTTAAAGATAGTTCTGGATCTTTATGCGGCAAATATTTTCTAAAAAAGTGTAGACAATTAGTTTTGGACTTGGAAAATTTAAAGCCGTTTTCAAGACACCATTTATTTATTTTATTAAAACACAACTGCAATTGCCGTTCAATAGTATGCATATTTTTACAACGACAAGAAATATTAAAATCATCCACAAAAAGTGATCCATTAATTGAATTGTTTAAAACCTTTGATAAACTGTTTATCTTGATACTAAACAATGTGACAGACAAAATACTGCCTTGCGGGACACCCTGATCCTGATTGTAATGGTCAGACAGGGTTGAACCCACTCGGACTTGAAATTGCCTGTCATTTAAAAAGTTGGATATAAATTGAGGCAATCCAAAGTCATGAAAATCTTTTAAAATCCCATGTTTCCATGTCGTGTTGTATGCTTTTTCTAAATCGAAGAAGATCGACACTGCATGTTGTTTATTAATTACGGCATTCTTAACAAAAGATTCTAAACGCACTAAATGATCGATAGTACTTCTGTTTTTACGGAAACCACATTGTATATCTGTTATTAAGTTATTGGTTTCCAGGTACCAAACAATTCGATTATTTATCATGCGTTCCATGGTCTTGCAAACGCAGCTCGTTATTGAAATTGGTCTATAATTGGAGGGATCAGAATGATCACGTCCAGGTTTAGGTATGGGAACAATAATAGCATCCCGCCACGACGAAGCAAAATTTCCAGATGTCCAAATGTCATCAAAAATGTGTAAGAGCGTCTCTAAACATGATTGAGGTAAGTGCTTCAGGAGTTGATAATGTATGTTATCAGCCCCTGAAGCAGTATCATGAGCCTGATCAAGAGCAGTATGTAGCTCATGTATCGAAAAGGTTTCATTGTAGTCTTCCCCATTGTCTGAATTGAAATTAAGGGATTTCTTTTCTTGCAGTTTTTGATATTTTTGGAATTCAGGTACATAATTAGATGAGGAAGAATGTTTGGCCAACGTCTAAGTTTATTAGCAATATCAGATTTATTAGTAAGTAATTCGTTCCCATCTTTCAGATGGTGAATGCTAGACTTAGAGCCCTTACCCTTGATGTTCTGGATCATATTCCACACCTTGGATAAAGGTGTGCGAGAATAAATTTTTGATATATAGTTTCGCCAAGATAGGCGTTTACTTTGCTTGAAAGTACGTCGTGCTTTGGCGTTTAAAATTTTATATTTGTCCAAATTGTGGACCATAGGATGGCGACGGAAATAGTGCTCGGATTTCTTCCGTGCCTTCCTAGCCTGTTTGCAATCATTGGTAAACCATGGTTTTCGTACATGAGGACTTGCAGAGGACTTTGGAATACACTCGTCAGCCATCATGTCGTTTAAAATATGCTGTTTGTGCCAAGGAACGGCATCCACTGACAGGGTGTTCGACAATATCTTAACTATTATGCTTTGGAATCTTGCACCTAGTAATCCCAGATAGTTGCCAGAATAATTAGAATAGACGGAAGTATACCCTACATTTCTACTTCAAGTCTAGTCTCATGATGAATACACTCCAAACAGTGTTTGTAATTCAATACTTACTTACCTGGAAAGATCACATTTGCAAAACCAGGTAAATTGTGTCCACCACTGTCTGTCACAGAAACCTGATATATTCCTGCATCTGCAGCTGTCAGTGGACCTTGTATTGCAATCTCTGCTGTACTTCCTGTTCTTGTGACTCTTCCAGTGTATACAGCACTTGGTATGAATGTACCACCAAAATATGTTGCAATGTTATAGACTATTCTGTTCGTTCCTTGTTTTGACCATTCTATAATCAATGGATCTGGAGTTGTGGGAGTGTAAGTCCAATCCAAGGTCAGTGGGTTACTCAGGCTGTTACCACACACACTGATGTTGAGTGGGACAGGAACACTCCAGCTGTACACTGAAACAATGACGAGCAGATACCCGATGAAGAGTAGGGGTGATGATAATTCTACCTCTTTTTCATCAATATATTTTATCCTGAATATTGACTGCAATATATTTGGCGCAAAAATGTGCTAAGTTACGTGATTGTCGTTTTGTGTGAAAGTGCACAGGGGAAAGGCAGAATAATAACAATGAAGAAATGGATTGAACACTCCTTTTTCTATGTCTGAGGGGAAACACTGTCTAAATAGTTTCCATCTTCACGAAACACCTGAAACACACCAGCTTCCGCCCTATCTATCATTCTACTTTGCTGGTTACTCCATCTCTTTGGCCTGCCTCTGTTACTTAATTTATTTTGAAGCGCTGCCAGGCTTTGAGTTGTGATGGAAGATCAAGATATTGTCGTATGAGGCTGGATACGTTGTCATAAATATACATTTTTTGTAAATCTATGGATGACCACCTTCCAGTTGTCCTAGTTTTTCTGCAACAGCTGCCACACGGTGTCTCGTGTCAGCAAGATCCCGTAGCCTCTTACGGCAAGCAAAGGCTTGCTGACGACCATTTCTAACCTGGATTCAGGATTCACTGGGTGAGTGAGCCTTTACTCCACTTCTAGCAATATTCCAGCAATATCACGATGGAGGAAGCCAAAATGGGCTTCACGTATTGTATCCATGTGGAATTCGTGCTTGGGCCTGCTGAGCCAGTAGGCCAGCCCCATCGAGCCGACGACAGCTAGAAGTGATCATATTTAATGTAACACATCACTCGTTCGTCCGATCTCCTACTAGCAGCCAATGCAACACATGAACTATTACAATAAACAACATTCACCAAATATCATACCACGTTGTATAGTAAGATGTACATGCACATCTGTGCATGGTTTCCGTCATGCATAACCCGATGGTGTTCAAGAAATCTCGACCGATTTCGTTACCACTATTTACACTGCCTTTCAATCACGTCATGTGAAAAAAGGAAGTCAGTGGACATTTATTCCATATAAGTGATAGGCTAACATGTATAAAGTGATGTTTTAAGCACCTTGGAACTTCTTAAAAAGAGAACCCGTTAAAAAGGTGGACGGATTTCAGGCCGTGTGTAAAATGTATAACATATGTAGGCATTTCAAACGGCTTGTGATCTGTCTCGCATCGGAGAACTTTTAAACGGCAAAATAAATGAAGTAGAATGGTTCTGTTCAATGCTACAACACAAGGAAAAAATAAACTACAACTATAATAAATGATCACAGCCGTACTGTTATATGAAGTAACATAGCACAATTTCAGGCAGTTGCCTAATTCGACGAATGAATCCGTTAATATCCACGTACAGGGACAGTAATACGTACGTGTATTGATCTGCCAAGGCACTTTACGACAACAAATGGGTGTATCCAGGGTGCGTTAGAATGGGTGAGATATATGTACTAACTCCTTCTTTATTTACAATGAAGAGCGACCTTTCATTGTCGATTCTAGCACCGTTATCAAGCATGTGATTCACAGGGTGGTGTGGGGATCCATCCCTGTTGTATACAACACTGCCCTGGATATGAAGTAAGATAAGAAACTATTAAGATGGTCATAAATAAGATAAGAGACTATTAAGACGGTAATAAATAGGTTAAGAGACTCATAAGTCGATAATAAATAAGATAAGATAAGATACTAATAAGTCGATAATAAATAAGATAAGATAAGATACTAACAAGTCGATAATAGACTTTAAACATTTCTGTACAAAACGAAATTACGTGGTCTAAACATATAGTTATATATAAGATTCATGAGAGGCATTTAGAAGTTGGTGAATATACAAGACGAGTATGTTGATCCTGATTGGCGATGGAGATTAACCCCAGAGATTAATAAAGATCAAGGCATATACCTCCCTAGTGCCTGGAACATCTCTAAAGTCGAACCACACCCACCTCTATTGTCACTTAATTAGCTGTATATCACACTGCTGTGTTCACATCTCCTTATACTCATTCTTTGTGTCAACTGGCTTTATCTTATCTCATTATCATTGTATTTATAACTTCTTTTCATCTGGCCTCATTAATATGATCGTATAAACATGTACATCTCTGGCTTCCTGTAAATCTAATTGTCACTTCATTAGCTGTATATCACTCTGATGTATCCACATCTCTATATTCTCATTGTTTGTGTCAACTGGCTTTACCTTATCTCAGTTACCATTGTTTTTATAACTGCTTTTGATCGGCCCTTTGTGATTGATTGTATATACATATCTAGCTTCCTGTAAATCTGGTGTATATAGTTTGTTTTCTACATCTGTCTTAAATCACCTGAAGAAGGGGCAAGAAGTAGCCCAGAAACGTTGTGATATACAATAAACAAAAAGTTGCGATCCATATACTCGGCGTATATAGCTATATATACTAACCTAATTTTCAGAGGGCGCCTGATATCACAAAACTGAAACTTCCCTTCGGAATCCAAAATAATAAAATGATTCTGTGTTCATGATGTTCCGGTATTTATATAGTTTTATTCAACTGCATAGTTGGGACAGAAGAGGAATGCCCTTTTTGTCAAATCTAAAAGTAAGATTAAACTCACCCCCTTACTTCCATGCAACATAGGGGCGGTGGGGTAGCCTAGTGGTTAAAGCGTTGGCTCGTCACGCCGAAGACCCGGGTTCGAATCCACACATGGGTACAATGTGTGAAGCCCATTTCTGGTGTCCCCCGCCGTGATGTTGCTGGAATATTGCTAAAAGCGGCGTAAAACCAAACTCAGTCAGTCAGTCAGCCATGCGACATAACCAAATACCATAGAGACATCCGGATGTTTAATCTGGATCACTGATTTTGTCAGCTTAAAGATGAGCTTGACTACGTAACGAACATCGCACCATGGGACAAAAAACGCTGTCACGATAAGTGCTCACTTACAAAGTCATCAGCAGCTGTATGGTTTCCTTTCGGCGCATGTTCAATCAACACGTTATCAAGGAAGCTCTAAACGTTGGAACAATGTACTGAGTTATAACAGATTGCTCGGAATGCATTCATTATTAGACCTATATCCTACCTCACAACGAGCCATACGTGTCGTTAGGATGTGCCACTAACCGTAGGGATATTAACAGGATGTTTATCAGGATCCTTCAGGTGTGTTTGGCTGGCAAGTACTGGTGCAGGACCGTGGGGATAGTAAACGGGCATTTGATCGGAAAGGGGATCCACGGGCCAGGGATAGAGTTGAATGTTACTTTCTCAAACACAACTAACCCTGGACATGAAAGAGATCTGTGCAGTGAGATCAAGCCATCAGTCGAAGCCAGTTATTACCAGCGCCACAGTAAGCCGTTAAATGCACATGTGCCACGATTTGAGCATCTCGACTATAAGTACTTTTGCCAAACTAACCCCGTTCATGATATTACACGTCGACCGCTTAAAGGTTAGTCAGTGTTAGCAGGGCATACCAAACTGTTTACGGACTTACCTTGACAAACGGAGCCTTTTAAACACACAGCGGCCAGCATGACAGTCACTGCAGCCAGGTATGTACATCTCTTATCCATTATATACAGGAAATGGACTCTTTATACGTATCTAAACAACTCACACAACCTTCCAGGGCCGATGTGGCTTATCAGAAAGATCACGCCATACTAAAGGGACATAATTCAAATTGTTATAAGAACACTGTTATGTGTTGAGGTTACACAACACTAAATGTTATCCCATAGACCTCTTTAGTAACCTTATATTTTTCTTAAATTCATCCAGCTGTCAACAGTCATTCCATGTTCACAAGGGTACAGTCTGGCCTTTAAACCACAATACAAACACAAATGTTTACGCACGCTACTCGCTCAGGAAGCGTGTGATTCTGATTTAGTGTTGTACAACCTTGATGCTCCCGTAAAAGATCGAAATGACAGCATCTTCAATGACCTAAGGGGATCTTATGATTTCTCTTATGTATGCGATCTGATTGGCTTTGTTAAGTGTCACAAACGACCTGCAGACCTGTCAGGTAGTACCGCTGGTATATTAAAAAAAGTTAGTTGCAGGTAGCCTGATATTAATTACGAAGTAGTGAGGCAATACTAGATTGCTTAAATGAATCAGATGTTAACGGAATATACACATAAGCTTACAGTATACGTTGAAAGAACAAACAAAGGTATATTGCACACAAGCAATTTAATTTTAAGCTGTTTTTTTAAAAAGTGGTTGGAAACGGCCATCAAACATTGTATCCCAGAACAGAAGCGAATCCTTTACTTACTATTCTACACTGGCAACGATTACTGGGTTAACGAATTACGACATGAAATGTGTGTTATCTGTGTGGAGTCCTTGATTTGTGTCACCAAGATTCACATTCATGGCAACAGTTCGCACGTCAACTAAATATTCGAATGGTAGAACGGCAGACCAGGCTGTCCAGTCAGCTTCAGAGGAGAAAGATTTCAAATTATCTGCTTAGTGGCTTACTCCTGCGAGTATAAACCGTTTAATATCGAAGTTTATATGCTATTTTTTAAAATTTACTTTTTGTACCATGGCATGTCATGTTGAGGAGAGCCCGTTGCTATAAAGATTTATATACGTTTGAGCACGTGACAGGTGTTAACAAACACTAACACGGAATAACCGACGGTATATTTGGACACAGGAGCAATGCCAGAGACATTGTTCACCCCGTTATGGGACTTAGATAAATATCAAGGCATAGATCAGAGAACAATTTCAAGTTGCAAAGCACATGGAATTGGTCTTCTCAACTGTTTGCATATGAATAAGGGGTCTCCTTCATTCAGGATTCATGCCGGAAGCTGAAGTCCCCATGACCCCCTATAAAATGGCCCAGCTTTCGTTGCTGGTTGTCCATAGCCCGTGTTTAATATCCTTACAAAACCTTATCACGTGTCATTACAATGAATGATTAGTGCACATGATCATTTTCCGGATGGAAGAGAAGCATAAATATTTCTTGCTTCCAACCGCGGTATAGATTTGGTCGTGACAATAGTGCACCATCTTGTCATCTGGACATTTCATCTTGTTGATTAGTTGTGTGATTCCAAGATATCACCCTGTCACAATATCACAACAGTGGAAATATGGAAGCCTGATGGGAAATCAATAGTTATATCAGCCTTAATAGATTTGGTATTACTTTGCTCATACGTTTCTTCAGTACTGTTTCTTCTATGTCTTTGTTGCAGTAAAGATCTATACAAGACGCAAATATTGTGGATCCCTGTCACCGACCTTATCGTGAAATACGCACACACAGGCCACCGACTCACCTGTGTTCAGAAATACTACATGAGCGACAAAACGCGTGTCCATGACGCTAGATGACAGGTCGGAGATGCTGTACAACTCTGAAGCTGGTTATGCAAGAGGTGATTCCAGCTGATGTCTGTCAGTATTGCTTGGTAGCAGTTGGACAACTGATAAATCTAGTAACCTTCATATAGTCTGATCCTGACAGCTATGTATAGCTACTTATATAGGGTTATACTGCAAACTGTGTTCATCCGTTTAAATAGCAAAGGACACACGTAACAGTGACGGAAACAAACTCGTCTGAAAAAGGTGACAAGACCGGCATCGTCGCCTTTTGCTCCCAATTGGCGTCTGGAAAGATGATTGTTCCACACTTCAATGGGACCATAATGAGTGGGTGATCTGTAGCACATTTCATCTGCGTTCAATAAGACTAAGGTCTCATGGCAACAGAATGAGGCTGTTCGATAATTCCCAATAGTTGAAGTCTTATTATATTGCATCAGTGCACACAGAGAATGTCGTCACTATGGGGTTCACCTGTCATCATGTAGAACAGGAAGATCGCTTCTGTGACCTCTACTGATCCCTCTCCAAATCACGACGGAGTCCCGTCCTTAGCGGTTGTGGCATTATTGAAAGATCGGATTTCTATTGCGGTAGTTCTATTTATGGAACCATGTTTCCACATAATCACCAAACGGATGTGTGAAAATATTTTTTCTTACAATGTGATACATTTAACGTTAAATATTCTACAAAGAAGAGATCTAAAACGGCATGATACAAAATACACAAATAGAAATAGAGTATTATACAAATGATTTGACGTTCACTTGATTGTTTTGGTTTCTAAAAGTAAATGTGCATGTATCAATGATACTGATCTTGCAAACACAAATAATGAAAAGTTGAGAAAACCAAAGAAGATGTGTTACTGCAAAGCAAAGGAATGTAATACGTTAAACGTGTTTCGTAATCAGCACCTGGCTCTAATATCATGATGTTTGCTGGTGCTTCGTTAAGTGTGTCAGTGCTCGGGACCTGAAAAGTACAAAATTAAAGGTAACCACACACAGATGTGATATGAACTGTAATATCACAGGTATCATAAAGCACGTTACATTTTAACAGGAGGCTGAGCACATGTTTAGGATTACGCCGATAACAATTCCCGAACACTGTTGATCCATGGCGATGACACAAGATTCCAGTCAGCAAGATTGTTCCTTGTGTTGGTTACCTTGAGAATGTGCCCCAGTGTTCTGGTATGGCGGGGCACTGATGGACTCATATGTCACAGGTGTAGTCTCGGTCATGCCTTCATAGGTACTTGTATCTCCTGCAGCATTCTCTGAAGATGATATTCATTACATATTTCATTAATAAACTCTAACCTTTCCCATGAAATTCAAATTCAAAAGGACCAACATCTGCACCTAACTTTTGTATTCTGATCTGAAGCAAATACATATGACAAGATTGTAATTATTTTGCTACTGAAACGAATGATGCTAATGATAATATCAACACAATGAACAACCCAACACCAGTACACACCTAATGATGAATATCCTCTGTTGTCCATTTCCACAGGTTCGGGATTCCTGTTAAAAACACACTAAAAACAATGCCTGCTGCAACAGTATTACAAAGATGGACCCTGGCAGAACATTATAGTTGTAAGTTCCTAAAACGATTTATCAGGGAATATGTGAATTTGTTATCTCTTTACCATATTTAATAATTTCGTTACATTGTTATACATGTATTCAACATTGAAATATACATCCTTGCCGATCCACTTCCTGGAAAACAAAAAATAGCCAGATGGGATGGTATTTAGTGTATAGCACACACCCTTCGTGGAAACAAGTCGCATCAATCGAAAATAAAATTTAAAAAAAAGAAGAGATAAATACAGAAGTATGACACACAAAATGAATGTAGGTACGTAATAATCGCAACATGTAACATGTATTTTGGTTAGTGAAACTAAATCCTGTTTTGTGAATACAAATTGCAAATGTATCGTAAAATAGAAATCCTAATGATATGATATTTCTTTCAAGCATATCACTCAAAAGTATGGAAAAGCAATTGGAGACTATATCGGTTGACCTTGAATAGCTTGCATCCTTATACAACTCAAATGTAACCACATACCTTTAATATTTCTGCACCTGTATCCGTTTCTGTAGAGTACCGTGAGTACAATTCCCACAATGAGCAAGGTGATGAGTATCCCGCCTACCACCGCTCCTGCTGTTACTCCAGTACTAGTAGATGGAGTTTCGAGTTTTTGTTTGTGGATCTACAACATAACATAAACATCATAACAGACGATTACTTATCGCATGTCACTGTATCAGGTGAAAAGGTGCCAGTGACCAGTAGACTTGTGTCCAATCACGCAGAAAATACGTATAAAACGTGGAACGCTGACTTTTAGTTCTATTCAGACTGATATTGCCAACCCAGACACACATGTTTACACTCAGAATGCAGTATTCTTACACGGTGCACACAACAAGATATGCGATACTCTGGTAGTACTTACACAGAAACAAGAGCAGTTACCTGTTTCAGGGGTTCAAAAATCCCATCACCCGACGCCCCGGACAAGTCAGTTTTCATTTCGGGCAATCAAATAATGGTATCTTACTTGTCGGTGGGCTACTACATAATTTCCACTTATGGTTTCAAATTGCAAAAAACTTTGATTCAGTTTCATATCTGCTCAAAATGTAGCTACTAAATTTCGCAATGATAATAAAGCAGAGTTATCTTTCTTTGCTATCTATCACTTTTCAATAAAAAGTCCAGTAAACATTAACATCAAATACCATGTTGATTTCTTCTTTCATAACTACATCATCATGATTATGTCATAAAATCAGGGCAAGTGGAAAATTAGTCAGGACAAGTTACTTTCTTGAAGTCACTTGCCCTGTGGCAAGTGGCTTTTTAAAAATAATTAGAACCCCTGTCTGTTCAATAAAGTCCACTGCAGATTTAATAAAAAAAAGACATCCCAATAGTGCTATTAAAAAGTCAAAATAAATCCTTTAAAGAAATGTTTGGTACTGGGGATGATGAGTTAGCAATATGATTTAACTGACACTTGAAACAATGTATGGTTGTCCTTGAGTGACACATACCCCCAGCAGTTTCAGATGCTGCAAAGACATATCCCCATAGTCATTTTTAGCAAGTAGTCGGAATGTGTAAATCTCTCCAGATATAAGGCCTGTTACGTCCACCACCATCCTCTCGCCTTTATCATCATTCGAATTGTACACAGTCCACTTTCTTGTACCAGATTGAAGATACTCAATCAGAAACGTCTGAGGGTGTCCACCATTGAACCCAGGCAGCCACGACCACCACACCGACGACATTGTTGCACTGCCCAGAGCTCTAAACTGTGAAGGTATCTGAGGTGGTCCTTACAACAAATTAATACGAACGTTTTCATGTTGGAATGTTCAAGTGCCATAAAAATGGAAGTAATGATCAATCATCAAACAAATATAGTTGTGAACTGGGGCTGTTTTTATGACAGGGTTTATGCATTTGTCTCTATGTCGACTGTAATACAGCCTTATCGTGACTAAAACAACTCGCAGTGAGTGAGTATGGTTTTACGCTTTTAACAATATTTCAGCAATATCATAGCAGGAGAAACCTAAAATTAACTTCCCATATTGCATTCATGTAGGGAATCCAGCCCAGACGTTCGGCGTGACGAGCGAACGTTTTAATCAGTAGGCTGCCCCAGTCCTGAACTAGAAAGCAACAGTTAAAGGTCACAAGCAACGTAAAACACAACTTTGCAGATTCTGATACCTTTTGTTATGGACTTACCGAAACAAATCATCAAAAATGCAAATTCAACTTATAAAGTTGAAAATTAACGCGATGAAAAAAACCGCACGAAATCGGAGTTCAAACGATTCACTAATTTTCCCCCAGCGCTTGGTGGAAAAGTGGTTTCAACAGCTGGGCTGCGCTTATAGCACATGCGCAGTGAAATAAGTTCGCGCAGCTTGGAAGCGAGCTTTTTATATGTTATGACAGTAGATTACCGATTTAACTGTTTATATAATTTCATTTGTCTATTTCACCACACGTTCTTCTTACCGAGTAACTTTCTCAGTTCGATCCTTAAAAGCAATGTCATTATTTTGCGTTGACAGAATTTCTAACTGTCATATAGATATTTCGTTGTCACAGACAAAACTCAATGTCTGTTTTTTTTAAAGCTATGTCTCTGTCCTTAAGATCTGTGATGTCACAGTATTACGCTGATGTGTCATTCAAGATTCTAAATTATTGATTGTACTAGTGTTTTCATAGAAATAACATCGTATAATTGTTATTATGTTACTAGTTTGCAAGTTCGATTATTTTTCAAGCATTCAATTATTTTGCAAACTCAACTTTTATTGGTCAGTTGTGTTAAGGATCAATATTGTCATAAACAATCACAATAATTCGTGTTCGAGAGAAAAGTTCTCAAGCAGTTATAATGTATGTAGAAGTGTAATCCTCCCAACAATCTGAATTGGAATTTATGGTGTTCAGTAATTGCTGATTTTGATATTGTTTTAAGTTTATCATCAGATCTGATTTTTCAGTCAATATATGGTTTAGGTGTTTAAAAAAGTGAATGCCAGATTTAGACCTTACCTTTTCAACATATTGGATACATTGACTCACTTGAACTGATTTGTAAAACATACCTTTGCCTAAATTGCCGTTCACTTTATGAAAGCTTCGATCTTTAAATGCTTCAGGTTATTGACTTCCTGACTGTTGAAAGAATAGTGCTCTTTTCCTCGCCGTCCTAGCCTGTTACCAATCGACGTTCAACCATGGTGTTGTCATTTGGGAAATTACAGAAGACTAAAGCACGCTCTCATAGGCTATGAAGTTTAGCTCATAAGGTAAAAAGCAATTGTATAGGTCTAAGAAGACCAGTAGAAAGAAACAGGTTGAAATTTATATGTGCACATATATAAAGGCGAGCTTGATGAATGAGGAACATCTGATGAAGCGTTCGTCAAAGCGTTCGCCATGGACTACATATATATCAACCATCCAACAACCAATAACTTGTTTGAGTGGCATTTTCGAACTAGAGACGTACAATATAGAACAATTTTTATGGATAGCAACTTCTTTATTTCATGAGTGCAACGTTTCGATACAGATTCCTGTATATATGTCGCTGTCAGAGATCCAGAGAGCAGTCCTGCTTGACAACGGTACAAGAATCTGTATCTAAACGTCGCACTCACGAAATAAAGAAGTTGTTATCCATAAAAAATGTTCAACATCAACCCATCAACCCATAAACCAATCCGCTCATCCATTCATCCTCCCATCGTTAAACCTATCCATACAACTATTCACCAATGCCTCTTAACAGCAGAAAATGAGTTATTAAAAATCGGCCACTCACCTGCAGGTACTATGCTTACTGTATATGTAATACTGCTTTTCGCCGAAGCGAAATGACGACGAAGATGGCTGTCTGGGGTTCAATCTTTTATTTTGAGTGTTGCAAGTTCGTTCTGATGATCCAGCATGTGTACTGATAATTTAGTGCCCTGGAACATTTAGGCAGTAATATAATTCACAATAACATGACATTCAACACATCACATCTTAATTCACGACATACTTAAAATATCAATCATTACACCATGTTGAAATAACAGAAGTCATGTTCAGTACATTGAATTCAATACACCAGATTTAAATGGCAATAGATTTCATTTCATTACACTGCATTGAGTTCTAATACAAATGCCCATTTAAAATATTGCACGTTACATACAAAGAATAAAACCAGGAATGACACATCCTAATACCATGTAGCCAAATCATTGATACACAAGCAGTCACTTACATATATATGGTATGCAGCTTATCAAGCGCATGGCGGCGCCCTCCCAAGACCACATGGCATACACATTACCGTCTGTAGTACACAAACAGTACAACAATTCATTCAGTCAGTCACAAATCACACATGGGGAAATTATAATGTGTTATGAATTAAATTATGACGTGTAATAATTTAATTTGGCAAGTAACTAACTTTGTAAAGATAATGTTTAAAATGCTTATTAAACTATCATAGAATTATTACTTTTAATTTATATTAACTACAAGATATTACAATACAATTATGGTTAAAGATAAAATAAGCTTTATTATGAATTGGATTATAACACCTATTTTACTTGTACTAACCAGCACTGTAAAAATACCATGCCAAAACAAAAAGGCTCACCTGTCAATCCCTGTGTCCCAATGTGAAGTGAAGGTTAATTGCTCAGGTGTAACATGTAGAGCCAATTGTTTGTCAATCAACCAATCAGAAATCAGCATAACTCATCACATGATAAACAATTCCTAGTGTCATGACCTGACATGACACAACCTTGAACTATGAGCCTTGACTGACAACCTTGACCTTGCCCAGAGCTAAATATATACAGTGATCTCAAAACAACTGCATTTCTCTTGAAATGCTGCCTTTGTCATCAATACAATTGATGAACTCTTTCACCACAAATGAACTAACTAACCTATAAAATACTACCACCTAAAACCTTTTTTTTATGAACTATTATTTTATCATTTTTATTTGCATTTTATGACCTATTAAAATGACCTCAACCGCAACATAATGACATTGCTAAAATTACAACTGGGAAATTCATACATTTTAACTTTAAATCAACCATATGAAATGCCAGTGGATCAAACCCTGAAATTTCATCACTGCTACACACTACCCCCCACAAAGAATTGGCGTCCCCGCCATCAACCATGACCTTGAATGACTGACAGCAGTACATCAGATACTTTAGGAGGGAGATGTTCAAAAGTTCCACTCGTTGCCAAATTTTCCAAGAATCTTGCCTTTTCGAGCCACTCTGGCGGACGCACTGCATGTGCCATCACAAAATCGCCACTGGTATGCCATGCAGGTTTGCGTCTCTGTCGTCCGGAACAACATGGTTCGTTATCGCAAGTGTGATTCTGTACTTCAGTTGACACAGTAGCACTGTTTTCATCCAACTCTGTAGTATTTTCTTGAGCATTTTCTGGAGATAATGTCACAGTTTCTGATTCGATAGATTCATCAGAATCTTCACTACCTGACATAGAATCACTCGATTCATCATCATTGTCCTTATGTTTTGATACTACCACTTCGTCAGTCTCAGTTGAAGTTCCTGGAATTGAGGCACCTGACTGTTCTATGGCATCTGTTACTTTCAAAACACATGTCTCATCATGCTGAGAATACTCACTTGTTGGATTATCAGTAACCTGGTTCTTTAACACATTCCTTGGCTTAGGTGTTGGACGCTGCTTCTGATCAATGTCAACACTGCTAATAGGAAGAAGATGATTTCTGTGAATAGTTTTAGACTTTCCTTCTGCTGCTTCTGGAGTGACTACATACACTGGAATATCTAAATTTGGATGTTCTTCAACAACATATGCTTCATTTTCCCATTTATCAGCAAGTTTATGTTTGCCTTCAAATGCGAGCTTTCGTACCAACACTCTGTCGCCTACTCTGACGCTTGCTCCTCGTGCCCGCTGATCATAACTTTGTTTTTGCCTTTGCTTGGCTTTCCTGGAAAGTTTTGCTGCAAGATCATATGATTGCTGCAACCGTTCCTTTAGAGCTTTGGTATAAGACTGTTGTGGTTTCTTTGAGTTTCTTTCAATACCAAACGCCAAATCAATTGGTAGTCTGGGATGGCGACCGTACATCAAATAGAATGGTGAAAACCCAGTCGTCTTATGACGTGTACAATTGTAAGCATGGACCAAAGGTGCGACGTGTACTTTCCAGTCTGTTTTCTGATCTGGCTCTAAGGTACCTAACATGCTGAGAAGGGTGCGATTAAATCTTTCACATTGTCCATTACCCATGGGGTGATAAGGCGTTGTTCTTGATTTCTTTATACCTGTAATTGCACACAGTTCTTGAATTAGGCGTCCCTCAAAATTAGCACCCTGATCTGAATGAATTCTAGCGGGATAACCAAACTGATATACAAAGTTGTTCAGAAATGCTTCAGCAGTCGTACGAGCAGTCATATTCTTGGTAGGAACAGCTAATGAGTACTTGGTAAAATGATCTGTAATCACCAAGATGTATTGGAAGTTATTTTTGGAAGGTTCCAATGTCAAGAAATCCATGGCAACCAGTTCTAATGGATATGATGTTTGTACACTCACTAATGGTGCTTTAGAACTTGTTCTTGATTTCCTGCGCAAACAGCGTGTACATCTCTTAATCCAAGTCTCTGTCTCTCCTGCCATTCCCGGCCAAAAGAATCTTTCTCTAATTAAAGACAATGTTCTGTCTCTGCCCAAGTGTCCCATATCATTGT